TTGGCGCAAATCATAGTGTAAAAGCTTTATACGCATTTTATGCAAACTAGCAACACAAAGTGTAATTGCATTACTTATGTACATATACAATGACTCAAAACAGCTGACATTTCTATTTCATGAACAAGCATACTCTCGTGAGTCAGTATGTTTGTTTTTTTTTTTTTAAATTATATTGTTGGCATACTTATGCACGAAAATAACAGCAACAACAACAACATCATTAGAAAACCACCAAGAAGAAATTCAACGAAAACGAAAAAGAAAAAAAAATGGTTTGCAAAAAAAAAGCTGAGAGAAATATGAATAATCGTGAAACAGGTTGGAAGAGTGGAAAGAGTGAGCGTTAAGCGTTCGTAAAGCTCACAAATCAAATGAAAGCAACTGAAACGACTAAACACGTCAGCCACATTGCGCGAATGCAAAACACGAAGCATTTCTAAAAAGTTTATTGAGCGGTGTTGACGTGCGCACTGCGCTTATATACAAAATATTATATATTTTTGTGTTTAATTTGTTACAAATGCAATTTAATTAAATTTAAATTTTTTCAATATATATACTACGCAGTATTATTTATTTATTAAATTAAAAACAAATAAGTGGTTATTTTTTTTTTTTTGGTTTGGTTTGAAAGAAAGTTATTAAATGAAATAATCACCTGATATTTTTCTTGCAATTTGAAAAAATTCAACCAAAAGAGAAGAAAGGTAAAGTAGAATTTATGTGAAAAATGATGACAGTGTGCTTTAAAGAAAAATGATTTAAAATAATAAAAATTATACAAAAATTTTCATAAATTTAAAATGAATATTAAATATGTTGAGATATTGTTTAATAATGTTTAATAGTGTTTGATAATGTTTATTAGTGTTTGATAATGTGAAAAAATTATAGTTTCGGAACAATAAAGCTAAACTAAATGACACATTTGCATACGAAAACATTATAATAAAATACTAGAAAAAGTGTGTTCATAAATATTTAAAATTTATTTATTAAAAATTTAAATGATTTAATTTAAAATAAACATGTGATATATGTGTGTATAGTATAAAATAGTTTTCTAATCAGTTTGAAACGGAAATCTTGATAATTTCCAGCTGCGATAACTAGAGTCAAAGTATAGTTGACGCAATAAAATTTTATAGCAGCATTTTTTTCTTCAAATTATTCTATTCTGAACTTCCGAGGTTATTCAGACGATAAAAAGTTACGTCAAGAAGTTTTGATAACGAATATTTTTAAATCGCACATGACAAATTCGATTTTAGGAGCATAAATTATAGTGCATGAATCAGTAATGTAAATCGAATTGGAAGTTTATTTTTTTATTTACTATTTCTTCAAAACAAAGTAGTGATTTTGTAGTTGAGAATTACCTATTAAAAATAACTAAAACTGCTTACCACTTATGAGCATATACAATATTAAAATGATATATGTTTTACTACATATCAGGGAAAAAAAGTTACAAAATCATATTAATTGAATTTAATAAAATAAATTATTATATTTTTTACATGACAAATTGAAAATTAAAAATGAGAATTTAAAAATTGCCTTAGCAGTTATTATTTTTCTTACAAAGATAGCTTAAAATTAAATCTGAGTATTTAAAAAACTCTTCAAGCATTAGCTTATATCACATCAAACATTAGTACTTATAATGTTTCTAAAATAATTCCTTATAATGAGACTAATAAATTGTATAAATTTATATACCCTCAATAATGTATCGAGTATATTATGAATTTACATTAATACGTATTCTTCGGTTAGATTAGGTTATAGATCTATATTAGGCAATCTTGTGCACGAAAACTAACTTGAACACAAAGAATGCTCCGTTGTGATACCATGGATGAGATACAGTTCATATGTCAGCCTGAAAAAGCACCCTAAAGTTAGAAGAATATGTTGGAGGCATATAGACCATGAACAGCGTTTTTTTAAGAAGGCATAACTCCACCATTTTAGTGGAGGGGAACCAATCTAAAAAGTGAATAAGGCTGACTATGTCTTTAATTTTAAAGAATGACAGTTCTATTAGGTCATTTAAAAAAAAGCACCTCAAGCATGAACAGCGTCCTTTTGAGAGGGGCCAGTTTTCCCAATTCAAGTAGAAGGGAACCAAGTTGACAAGTCTTTAAACTTGGGTATGTCCCCAAAACCTGACAGCGCTGTCAGGTCGGTTATAAAAGGAGTGTTAAAGTTTATTAATCTTCTTCTAGGCTGCTGCTTGCACCGATATTGTTGTACTCAGTGAGTATTGAGGTGAAACTTGTGAACTCATAAGAATCTATTCACTCAATATTTCAGTGTGAACTCTAGGTATTTCCGTTTATTTGCAAGTTAAGTCGTTACAAGAGGTCTACCAATATCCCAAAGGTGAATTTCGGAGTATAGCTTTAGCGAAATCGTAAACCTGTTGTTTATATACAAATAAAATATTTGATAGATAGTAGAAATATGGAACTAATAGTTTTATTGTATATAAAACATATATATACATCAACTGTTTAGTTGTAAAATCAAGACTATAAGTTAAAATCTATCCAGTTTAGATATTTTTAATTTATGGATACACTTTTCAAATTTATTTTTTTATAAGTTCATGAACTACTGAATATTTTATATATGCTAAGATATCTTTTCTAATTGATAAAAGATGTTAAAATATATAATGTATATATATAATATATATATAATAGTATAAATTATTACAAAATTTTTACATCATCATAAATTTTATTTTTATATATTATGTAAAAAGCAAAGTAATTATTATGTCTTATAGACTAATGTATATATATCAACAAAATCAAAACAAAAAAGTAAAAAATCAATTAAATGTATAATTTTATATCATTTAATATATATACGCTTATATAGATATCAAAGCATTTTTGTTTTATAAAATATTAGGTAATAAATCATTAAAAAATTTTTTTTTGCAACAGGTTCATTTTTTTGATATTTAATTATTTTTTAAATTTATTTTTTAATGAAAAATTTAATACTATCCCATGACTTTGAATAAAACTGAAATTATATCCACTATGTAATTATATAACAGCTTGATGCAAATTATTAATGTGTATGTCTTAATTATAATTACATTCAAAACACAAATTTGAGGAATAAATTTAAAAAAGGTTGTTAATATTAACAATTAAATATTTCTAATATATTGAATTAAAATATACGTTGAAGGGGTTTTTCTGTTTTGAACTGAACTTTAACGCAACTATATGCAGTCTTTGAATTTTCAACCTATAATGTATAGGGAATATTTAATAGTGTTTTAAAAATCACTCTCAAATAACGTAATTATATGCTCTAATACACATTAGATTAAATACAAATAGTTTTAAAATAGTGTTTTCACGCTGCACTTGAACCTAACTCGATCTCGGTATTAAGTAATGCGATAACAGCAAATTATAGTTAGAGGCTTTCAGTATTACTACAAATCAGGTATTACTTTTTTTTCAGGTTATCCAAGTTGTCAAAAGGTTATAATTTCTGAGCGCAAAAAAATTATAAAATGAGCAAAATTAATTTACAAAATTAATATATGTAATCTAATATTTTGCCAATGGAAAACCAACCCATAGACATTTCATTAACAAACAATCTTGTTAGAAAAAAAATTTGTGTTTTCATTCCCTAATCTCTAGATAAAATAGAAGAATATATACGGGGTGCTGGCTTCTAGTAGGGCAGAACTGAACATAGTCTATAGCTATATTCGAATGTGTTTCTTTACTTAAGATCAATTGCAGTTTGTTTTTGTAATTCGATAGATATAACTTTGATATCATCATTAAAAATACATATTATTTTATTATTACTGTGTGTGTTAGTATTCTCTTTAAAGGCTGTTTCAAATAGTTTTCTTACACTGAGCACAGAGATTTTTACCGGGCACAGGACACTGCTAACTAAGGTATTATCTCAACAAAGTAGACTTATGCACATTATTTATAGCAACCAGTATTAATCACTTTTGTGAAATATTTGTTGAAACGTTTGAATACATTCTTTATGAATGCCATAAACCGAAGAGTTGTAAATATCCATCTAGAAAGCAGACTTGTTGACTCTTATAACATATGGCTAAATACAAAACCCACTTTGGACTATGGGTTTATTAAAAAAAACAACTGGGATTAAAACAATAGACTTGCTAAGTAATGCTATATAGTATTCCAAACTTTATTAATAATAATTAGTATTCTTTAATATTCATGATTGAACAATTATGTGTCCCCATTCACCCTACTTTGTGAACGATAGGTGCATTACAAAGCCACTGAGGCTAACACAAACCATCTAAGTCATTATGAATAGTATTGCACACTTGATTATTAATTATTATCTTTCGTTTTTACATTTGAACATTATATATTCCCATCATAGGTATGAATCAAAAAAAAATCGACTCTTTAGTTTTCAAAATCAAAATCATGGACGATGTGATAAGTTTTAAAAGTGATGTCGATTTTTCTATATTTTGTTCGAAATTGTTCTGTATGTATTTATCTAGAAATATCGTGTTTCTTTTGGCGAATTGCCTGTGTAAGTTATTAATAATTTTCAGCAGTCGCAGAATTCGAATATGGTGGCGAAAAGTATCTGTAATTGAATTTCTAATTTCATACTATTCAATGCATGATGCAATCTTGAAAACTTTCAAGAGCTATAATCTGTGAGCATCACAAAATTTATTCAATATGGAGTTCCTAAGTTATTGGGCTCGGCATGAAACTTTATTGCTTGCAAAATCCAATTTTTGTATGAAGCAATGTTTCTTCAATTTAACTAAATTAAATTCTTAAGTTCATTTATTAAAGTTTAAAATTGTTTTAAAGTATTATTAATTCATATTCAATAAATCACAATTTAATAAAATTTTCTTTTTTATTTTAGGTCAAATAAATCAACCCTATGCAAAAATAATTGTTCCAATCAAATCAATTTAATGTTTGATTTACTATAAATAAAATATAATCAAAAACCAATTTTTGAAAAGAATCTCCAAGAAGACGACATTTGTAAAAATCTTCTCTTCGACTAATAATAATAAAATCAATTTAAATTGATTAATAGAAGAAATAAAGGAAGAACGTCTGAACGTCATTACTTTATCAAAAGGAAAAAAAAAAGAATAGAAACAATCGTCAACAAACAAATTGAATAAATCGTTCACATCAATTTGTATCAATTCATATTCATTAAATCAGAAAAATCATACAATTTGTGATAGATTGAAACGCTGCTATGGCATCTTCTTCGATACTCGCAAATAATCCAATAACAACGCATTCGTCTCTAAACGCGACTTCAGCGAAGTCTATCTCTACTGCCTCAGTTGCTAAAACTTCAGTTTCAACACGTAAACGGACATACGATTCAGCAATTTCCATGCCGGCTGCCGCCAGTACTGTTGCAACAGCAACAACCGCAAGCAATGGAACAACTGTTAAAGCAGCAACACCGGAAAAAGCAACTAATGGTCAATTGGGTAATGATACAGAGGAACTGTTAAGCATTAAAGTAGATGCTTGTGTGACTGCAGCTCCTTTTAAGGATTATACACGCACAGTTTCACAGAATGAGATTGATGAAGAGGAAAATACCATAAGTGCTGGTACCTCTGGTTTAACGAGAAAATCAAATGATAACTCTTTGGAGAGTAGTCCAGTTAAAAAAAAATATGTACCACCACCAGCCTTAGTAGTGAGTGCCAGTAGTGGTGCATCAGAATTTATGGTGAGTGTCATTAAAAAATAAAATATATGAAGTAATTTAAGAAAAATAAATAGTCCATGTAAGAGGTGACATTCTCCGATAAATGCAGAAAAATATCGCTAATTTTATGAATCGTTTATTTTATTAAATATACAAATTCAAGAGGTTTTTTTCGAACAGTAGTGAACTACAACAACAAAAATTTATTTTTTATATTATTTTAATTAATTGAATTTTTGGCTGACCATACAGCTGTTTCGAGTATTGCCAAATTTCCACTGATGCAGTGGTCTTGGAAATAATTCTTTTATTTAATTATTCGTAAATAATTATTTTTGAGACTGCAAGTACCAGGAATCGAATTCGGGTCCTCCCAAATGTGAAGCTCAGAATCAGCGCACCTTAACCAACTGATCCAAAGCCGTACTTGACTTTTTTGTTCGCATATTTTTCTGGAGTTTTGTTACTTTTACTATGAAAGTTTTTATTAACAATTTTACTTGATGTGTTTATATTAGAACGAAATCATAAACCAACTATAGAAAAATTGAATTAATTAATTAATTATATTTTTATTTTTAATTGTTAAATTTCAATACTATTCTGTTCGTAAAGGCATTATTTGTTGCATGATTTGTTCTTTCTTATGTATAGAACCTAATCTAGGAACGTAATGCTGAGAAAGTCATGTTATTTATTAATAAATAAATGTTACAGTGGAGTGTTAAAACTTTTTCAAGTGAATTAGACATAGCGTGAGATACTTCAAGTGTTAACACAAAGATATAAAATTGAAAACTGTGTTTCATAGGTATAGCCCCCAAAAACTGTGTCTAAGCAATTATTACATAATAAATAGAGAACCTATATAATTTTTCAATTTATCGTAAATCCATAGCCTTTCTAAAATTGTATATAATGAATTGTTACATTATAAAAAAGAGAACTATGTCATTTATTCAAAAAGGTTCCAAGATCGACGGGATCTACGTTTACGTCAAACGCCGTTCAAAATCCACAAGGATATTTCACAAGCAGGTCCCTGCGAGTTACAACAATAACAACATTTTTTGATGGATGTAAGGCAAGCTGTATATGTCTAATCAATCGAATCCCATTTTATTGGTGTAAAACCTTAGAACAGATTTCAATGTAGTTAGCTGTTTTGACCAACTTTTTTAACCCTCCTATCTTTCGAGATATCGGGGTTTTTAGGTTTAAACTTTTTACATTGACTACAAATAGCTAAATCTACAGATGGTTCCGAACCCCACCTTGCGTATGTAATATTTTCATTAATTACACAAATGAGGAATGAAAAGCGTAAGGTTATAAGATTTTTAACTTGAAAACTTAATTCTACCTAACTAACCCATATTGACATATAGCGTAGAGTAAATAATTGTTATTGTTGTTGCAACCCGCCGGGACTTGCTTGTGGAGTCCCTTTGGGTGGTTTTGAACGGTACTTGGTCGTCGTAGGTGACGAGTGGCTCCGAGACGTAGACCCGACCGTTCTTGGAACCAGAGAAAAGAATTCATAATCTCTGATTTTATTACAATCCATTAACAAATGGTTGTGATTGGGAAAATTAGCATTGTGTCTCAAAATATTTTTTTTTGTTAATAAATGATGTAATAATAGATATACATATATATTCTTTAGTTCTTTTATTAGAATAACTTTTAGATTTTCTAAGTGGAAATTTTTATATTTTAAAAGAAACCTATTTTTATATATTTAAATAAACCTACTTTAATTGTAATAAATGTTCCCTAATGCCGCAATGCCCCACTTTTTGGCGACGTCCATGTTATGTTTCATAAATTAATTTATGATTTTACTTTTATTAATAATGAATTAACCCGAAAGTTTACTTTAACTACAAGAGCATAACAATAATTTTTACTTAGTTTTTACTGTACTTCATACTAATGCAATAAGATTTTAGATACATATTGTATCTGTTACTTATTATATTCTTGCATTTATATGTCTTTGTTGGAACACATCATCATTTTCTTAGATATTTCATAATAAAAAATTTTATTCGTTAATATTCATCTTTAGATACCAAAAAATTAACAATTTAATAGAAATATCTCAGATGTTAAGTAAAAAGTAAAAAATAATAGATTAAACCAGATGCATTCATTGCAAAAGCAATTATAATAGAAAAATATCTCATTAAGTAGTAATCGTTTAGTGCTATATAAGCAAAATTTAAGTTAACTTAATTAAAGTTTACCTCATCGGAACTGTTGCAAATTGGCCTCCTCTCTGTTCTCCCAAGTCACTTTTGTATCTATAATATTTTTATTTAGTTTTGCAATTTGTTCATTAAGTAAAAGCAAACGAAGAAAAATCGCCTGTGCAAAATTTAATTAATTTGAAAGTAAATTTATTTGTTATCTACGCGAAGCTTTCCATTTTGCAAACTTAAAAAAAATAGCAGCTTGTGTCTGTTTTTTTTTTTGTATTCATTAATTTTGAAGAATGACAGGCTGCCTTCGGTGGGCAGATACAATCGCTAGTACGGGGAATATTTCTCTATCGTATGACCGAAAAAATTGCGTGTATCGAATGATTCATACATGACATTGGTACTACTTTCATTAATTGGTATATAAAAAATATGGGTATGTGTATTCATGTGCTAAATTTCAATTCCATTTTTATATTTTGGCGATAAGTTTATTTAATTAGATGAGTAACAACTGAACGTGTTAAATATAAAAAATATTCATAGCAATTCATTTGTACGTCCACACAAACTGCAAGTTTCAAAGTTTCAGTGTTAGTAATAAATTATAAATAAATACTTAAATATTCTAATCTAAGGTCTTACAGTCATTAGGTTCGGTTATAGTGACCCATTGTGGTATTGTGTAGACTAAGATTTCTTTTCCCTTCACTTTTGTAAAAACCATATTGATTCTTTAAAGAATATTGTCTTCCATTGCAGCATTCCTAAATTATATAATTTTGTAAGAGTTTGAAAGAATTTTTAGATGGTCTAAGCTAAGTCTTTGCAGCTTTGAACAAAATGTAGTGCTGTTACATTTAGCCCTTTAGTATGAATTCAATACAACACAGAAATATAAGTCATAAATATTAATTTAAATTTTTTTCTTTTTAAATCTATTCTCTTATTTTAAACGCGGCAGATCAAACTCGATAGTATCTCTAAGTTATATTATGTTGAATTTGTAAGAGCAGATTAGCAAGATAGGTAATGGTATATGCTTTTCGCTACCTTTTTGTTTCCACTTGCAATAGTCAATCTGGTAATCAAACAAAAATAACTGAGTATAGGTAAATAAACTTGAACCGTTCTGTCAGATCTCAAGATCAGCAAAAACATACCAATCAGCTGTATTAACTAACGCATAATCTGCTCATGCATCGCTGAGGACCGCTCATTGAGTATCAGAAAGACATACTTGAAGTCTGAGTCCACACTATAATAACTTTTGTCTAGGTTGTGACTTTGCAAATAAGAAGGAACTGTAATCCAACACATCTCTTAGTGGCCGAAGTCACACGTTGTCCTCATATATGCGTTGCTAAGCCAGATTAAAATCATTCAAGGCTGTTTATAATCATACACATCGTTTAAGATTACAACAATTATTTACTTAACACTAATACGAGTAATAATATATTTATATAATATATAGTAATTAACTCAGATATGAAAAATGGCTTCACACCTTAAAGAAAATGATTTTTTAAAATGGTAAACTGCTAGACTATAAATAGTTAATTACGGGTAAATTTTTTGACTAAATAATGCACTGGCAATTTTTTAACTTTTTTATCTTTAATTAACAATAATTAATTTTCTTCTTAATATTAACTTATATTCATATTTGCACGTGCATGCATATATATATTTCTTTAGTCAAAAAGAAAAAAGAAAAAAGAAAATGCATCGTCAGTTAAAAAAAAATGTGTCTTTAAAATTTACGAAATAATTAATAATAATTAAAAACTACAATATTTAAATTAAATTACCATAATAATTGCTTTTCAAAAAACACGTACGTTTACGTGTACATTTCATTAAATTTGTATATGTCTTTTCTACTTTTTTATTAAGTTCTGCACGTGTCTAATTATTACTTCTTTATTCTACAATATCTCAATATAAGATCTCAATATAAGTATGTATTTTTTTAGAATTCAATTATTGAATGTTATATTCATAATATATTGAAGTAAACATTTTCCTAGTATTCTTTTTCTATTATAATAGACTCTGGTATAATATCGATTGAACAATTAAATATATTAAAAAGTGCATCATCGTTGCATTAATTTAGATTCTGTATTTTTCAATCATTGATCTTTTAATTTCTCACATATCTGAATATCAAAGCAAATGTTTAATATGGTTGTATCGAAGTACGAACCATATTTAAATATTAAACATATAAAATATAAATTCGTTTTAAACGGTATTGTTATATGCAGACGACCTGCTAGGGTTAACCTATTTTATTAGTAATCTACTTTGATTTGGTTTTCATTTAAAATGCCTTTATAAAAACCTTTACTCGTTAGAACTTTAACGGAAGGAGTTGCATCGACTTACAGTAATTAAGAACTCATATGGTTGACATGATGTGTGATCCGTCTTTTCTTCACTACAAACAACTTGTTATATCTAACATATTCTTATTTACAATAGTCTGATGGATATAATCAACAAACAAATCTTATTTTGTTGAGATAATTACTTATATAGGGTACTTCCGACTGCCCGATCAATTCGAGAAATGATTCTTCTTTGGTCAAGTGACGAATTTGCATACTAAAACCTACTTGAGCAGAAAAGCTTATCATATTTTATTAATCCTGTAATGATCAATTTTGCAGTAAAAGCAAAATTGATCTTACAGCGCTGAGGACCTAGGATAAGTGAATAATTAAAAACACTGAATGTCAAATATTTCATAGATATTACCTCGAATCCTCACGACTGGTTCGCAAACAGGTCTTTTGGTTTGTCGGTCTC